CTTTTAATAAAAAACGCTGAGTAAGTCGTAAAAAACGTGTTTTTAATAAAAAGTCGAGTAAATCGTAAAACTTTGCGATTAACTCGAGAAGTTTATTAAAAACGACGTCAGATCAGGAAACGATTCCGAAAAAGTCGGAAAACGGTTTTTATCGCAAAACGGTCCGGAAGGACCTAAAACGCGATAAAACCCATCTCGCTCGACGGGCATATGCTCGACGGGCAGGCAAGCGGGAAATTGCTGAGGAGATAAAGGCCCGCCGTGAACGATTCGTAACCGGTTGTTCGGATGCTGAAGCTGTTCAGAGGGTACACGGCGATTACCGCGAATGTCGTGGGGTTGTTCATGGGTTATCCCTTACACAGAACGAAGGGTATTCGTTCGCTGAGGAGTATTCCGCGCGGATGGGANAGGGCGCGCATGTGGGATCAGTGGAATCCCATCGTGGTGTCGCCGGATTCAGTCGAAGTCGGGACCGGGATACCAGATGTGGATGACGAGGTCGATCAGCCGTGGGTTGACGTTAATGCTGGCCAAAGCCCGGCGTCCGAGTTTTTTAATTTTGATGAATGATGTATTTAGTTTTTTCGATTTTGTCGTTGTTTTTTTTGGGACTGGCCGTTGGTGGCTTTGAATCCCTACCGCCGGGCGGTGTGTATTCGGATGTTTAGTGAGAAAATATTTTCTAAGTATGAAATTCGCTTTTTCGTTATGTTAGATGTAGAGGGAAGAATACGAGTTGTCATCTCGTACCTAACTCTTAGGTGTAGATCGTCCGATTCGTTAACTCGGGAGATTCCGATTTTCGCGAGTGCTTAGATGTGGGCGAAGAGACATTCCTTTAGGATCTCGATTCATGCCTTGAGACGTTAGCGACCAGTGTGCTGGGTTTAGGGCAAGACCTAGGTTTACTTTCGGATTGGGGCTGTGCGATGACTAATCGGCTTTCGTTTTGCCCGTTGCGATTTTAACCTGATTCCATACCGATTTAGAATCCGCGATAGGTTCTCGGCTTATACGATTCGT